TATTTATGACCTGGGAAGTGATTGAAGCCAAAAAATACTGTCCAACCCACATTTACCCATTTTTGGCCCCGACACCTTCTTTGACAAATGTCGCCAAACGTCCGGATAACTTTGAATTTTCAGAAAAAATTTTTCGCAGTCATGACGGCAGAGGGAAAATATTAAAAGTCATGAAAGTACAGGCAAATCGGATCATTTGTTCAGGAATGATGGATAAATATTTATAGGGGTGCGCTCATTGTGCGCACCCCCGGTACAAATAGGGTTAAGAGTGTGGTGGGGAAAAGCTGTCCCCATACATACCCTATTTGGGGATTGTTAGTGGCGGGGTAACGACGGTTAAACATGTTTATCGGAGAGCACCTGAACAACCACCTTCTGAGGAGGAAGAGCCGAAGACTGATACTGATGACCAGGCATAAAAATTTCCCAAACTCTGTTGAGTATGGAAAAACTATAGTCCTTAAATAATTTAGTACTTTACTCCAGCTTGTTGACCGTTTGCGATTCTGATAACACCATCGGAAAGGACGAACATATAACATACAAGGTTTGCAGTTGTAGCTTTTTTCGTGATTTCAACCAGTATTCCGGACTGGGTGTTCTGGATTATTGCACCGTTTCCGTATGTGTTGGAGTCGTTTACGGTTCTGAGATCGATGACCAGTGCGAACTTTTTGTCTTTGAAGAAGCTTGTTAGTGTCTGATGACTGATTTCGTCAGTACCAAACAGTCGCCTTGCCTCTTCATATAGCCTTGTTTTAGGGATACCTTGGCTATAGACTGCATTAGGAACACATTCCTCGGTTACCCTGACCTTTTCAATGTTGGGGTTGGCATATTCCTTACTGCCTGTCCTTGTCTTGTTTGTGAATAGCATGACGATGGCTTTCATACTTCTGCGTGGTACGTTGATCATTTCGTTGATGATAGTGGTGTCCCTGCTCCATTCCGTCTTCTTCATTAGGATGGCATGTTCGAAGGACAGATCACGATCGGATCCGTACAGGTTTTCTGCTTTTCTTGCAAGCTCGATGTTGTCGATGGACTCATACTCCAGTTCGATATTTTCCACGGTATATCCTTCCACACTTTCTTCACTCTGTGCGCTCATGATTTCGTCGGCTTCCGGTAGGGTGATCACATATTGTAGGTCGTTTGCCATGTTGTGTGGGGCGTAGAAGCCATGATCTTTAAGGATTTTGTTGATCCGGATTCATTGTTTTGTTCCAAACACTCCGAACAATGCGGTAGCATCCATATCGTCGTTTGCGGCGTCGTCTTTGGATATTTTCTTTCTCGTAGCTTCGCTATAGCGATACCATCCTCCACCATGTCGTTGCGCTGTTTGTTGTGTAGCAATAGGTCCTTGTAGACCTCTATCAGGCTTTCTCAGCTATTATCATAGACTTTCCCTCCTGCGAGTCGGATTTCTAAACTTTTTTGGAGTAATTTTCCTAGGTTATTCCTGAACCAGGAATTTGCGTTACTGTTCTTAAAGTCGAAGACTAAAGCCATACTATCCGGTATGAGTCGGCTTTTAGCTTCGGGATATTAACATAAATTTCTTCTCCGGGTTTGGCAGAGTTTGGGTTGAAGGTTAGGACGTGTCTGGTCCTCACCTAGTGATTTCCGTCCTATTCATGCGTCGGAAGTTGGGCATAAGTTCAGTTGTTCGGTCCATTATGTTTTATTATAGCACGATTTATTTCTTACGCCTGTTTTGCAAGTTACCGCGGATCAGTTCCGAAAACGCAGAAAGCAGATCGAAATCGACGCACGGAAAGCAACAAGGGAGGCAAGGACATGGGAACATGAAATAAAAAAGGAGGAGAGAGAACGACAAAAAGAGGTTTCCAACTGGAATGCCGAAGCCCAAAAGTGGAAAAAGGAGTCACAGAGGTTGAAAAGAAACGGGAAAGTACGGGAGAAACGCGCCGAGCAGAACCGCAGGATTTGAGAGGGTAAGCGGAAAGGCAAGAACAAATTCGCTAGGCTTCAGTTAAAACTGGAGGACAAGTTGAGTAAGGTCTAGGGCAAACGAAGTAAACTGAGCTTCACCCCAGTCATCACAAACACCAAGCATGCACATGGTAAAACGGTAAGTGAGTACACGATTTCCGTGACCGCTCCGCTAACCCATAAGCAGGTCCTATCTTTGTCGAAGGAGGAAGTTCTGAAACTGATTGAGTCCATGAAGAAGCCGGTGAAAGTACAGGTTAGGTTGGAATGCATCATGGAAAAGACGGATCCTATCACGGGAGATTTCACGACGGACAATTACTATCCAAGTAGTTTTACATCCAACATCTTTCCTACAAACAACATCTGAGAAAAGTACGACAAAGCATCGAAAAAATTTCAAACGACATTTCCGAATATCAGAAGAACGGATCGGGATGGATCCTGAAGAAGGTTGTAAGAATGATCGTAAAGATTATGAAGTATCAAATCGTGAGGGGAGCTGCATTTCCGAACTTCCTAAATTCATTATCAGCAAGAAAACGGTTATCAACATAAAAAATGAAGACATTATGTGCTTCAAGTACGCGGTCACACGTGCGCTACATCCGGTGAAGAAAAAAGCGAACGTTGTTAGCAAACGTCTTAGAAAACAGACCGAGAAGTACAACTGGCAAGGATTGACATTCCCCGTCGCTGTAAAGGATGTGAAGACGTTCTCAAAGAATAATAACATTGGGGTCAATGTTTTTGTCATCGAGGAGGTTATGGAAACGGATCCGGATGGTGACCGTCTGATTGCGGCAAAGTATGTCCAGTTGCTAACGAAACCGACTGAGGAGTATGAAAAGGTTATCAACCTCTTCTGGCACGACAACTACTTTAGTGTTGTGAAGTGTTTAAGCCGCCTCCTTTCCGGTCTGGTGAGCGGTGGAAAGGAAGCAAAACACTTTTGTCCGTACTGCTTGAATCACTTCGGGACAAAACAGCTCATGGTTAACCACATTAAGGACTGCCGTGTTAGGGGTCGACAGCGAACAATATTTCCAAGTGCAAAAGGTGAGATACCAACAATAAAGTTCAAGAGCCACAAACACCCCACAGACGTACCGTTTTCAATCCAGGCCGACATTGAGTGCATGATTATGGACATTCCGGACGCACACACTGGGAAAAACAGGGACGTTGGACAAGGGATGAAAAGAGGTTCAGGAAAGTTTATGTGCCATATATGGCCGGATTCGCCATTACATCGAACATGGAGATTGAGGGCTTTGAACCCACTATGGTGACCATTAGGAACAGGGACGACGACCACGACCTGATGAAGGAGTTGTGCAAGACAATGGCAGAAACTGTCAAAAAGCTATATGACAAACACTTTAAGTTCCGGGTCCCAATGGAAATGTCCCGCGAAGATGAGAAGGACTACAACTCATGCGTAAAATGTCATCTTTGCTTGAAACGGATCTATCCGGACAGTAACCAGATATACCAAAAAGTCCGGGACCATTGTCACTTTACAGGAAAGTACCGTGAAGCAGCACACAGCATATGCAATCTGAAAGCAAGGAAACCGGATTTTGTCCCGACACTATTTCACAATCTCGAAGGTTACGACGAACACCTTTTCTTACCTAGTTTAGCGAAAAACGGGGAGAACGTGACAAGCATTCCCCTGAATGAGGAAAAGCATAAAAGCCTGTCCAAAGAAATCCTACGGTACCACATTCCCGGAAAAGAAGACGGGAAAACAAGGCCTTTTAATCAAAGGTTCATCGACAGTGCCAATTTCCTGCAATCTTCCTTACAAAAACTGGCAAAAAACCTGCCAAAAAACGAATTTAATTATTTGGAATAATTAAAGGATCCGATCGTATAGCAGAAGGGTGTATTTCCCTATGAAAACATTGACAACATGAAAAAGCTGGACGAAACGCGCCTTCCTCCCAAGGAGGACTTCTTCTCATCGCTAACAAATGAGGAAATTTCCAACGAGGATTATGCCAGAGCACAGGAGGTGTGGAAAGGATTTGAATGTAAAACCCTGTGGGACTACTCAGAGGTCTACCTAAAAACGGATATCGACCTTCTGACGGACATATTCGAGGACTTCCGGAAAATGGCCAAGAATACCTATGGTTTGGATCCGTTATGATACTATACAGCCCCCGGATTGTCCTTGGACGCGGCGCTAAGATTTACGGGGGTAGAGTTGGACCAGCTTACCGATCCAGACATGTACCTTATGATCGAAAGAGATATCCGCGGTGGAATATGTATGGGTGTGACGAGGTATGCCAAGGCGAATAACATCTACCTAAAGGACTACAATCCACACAGGAAAAAGACCTATTTCCGGTATTGGGACGCCAACAACCTTTACGGTTGTGCTATGTCAAAGCCTCTTCCCTTCCGGAACTTTAAATGGATGACAGAGGATCTGTTGGAAAACTGGAGAGAGCATCCGTGCTTCCTGGAGGTGGACCTGAAATATCCGGAGAGACTGCACGACCTACACAACGACTATCCCTTAGCGCCTGAAAGGATGAAGATCGGAAAGGTGGATAAGCTGATCTGCAACCTAAGTGACAAGGAAGGGTATGTCGTCCATCACGAAGCGCTAAAGTTTTACATCGGTCTTGGGCTGGAAATCACAAAAGTACACGGGGGAATAACATTCGAGGAAAAGAACTGGCTGAAACCTTATATTGCAAAGAACACGGAGGAACGTAAAAAGGTTAAGAGTAAATCGGAAAAGAATTTTTTCAAGCTTATGAACAATGCGGTATTCGGTAAGACGATGGAGAACGTCCGAAACCGTGTGGATGTGCGGATGCCCACCTCGAAAAAGCAGATCAACAATCTGCCCTGAAAGACAAACTACCAGTCCTTCAACATCATCTCGGAAAACCTGACCTCCGTTGGAATGCGAAGATCGTTCGTGATGCTGGACAAACCCATTTATCTGGGAGATGCCATTCTGGACTTGTCCAAAATTGTGATGTACGACTTTCGGGACAACTACGCAAAGCTCACATGGAGTGATAAGGTCAAACTGATTATGACGAACACAGACAGTTTGTTCGTACGCATTGAGACGGACAACGTGGATGCGGACATCCTTAAGAGAGGTGATCATCTCAAGTACTTCGACCACAGCAACTACAAGGAGGACCATCCGATGTACTTCTGCGACAACAAAATCGAGCTTGGTTCATGAAAAATGAAATCGGTGGAAAAGAGATAAGCGATAGATGCGTGTGCCATCCGACCAAAGATGTTTGCATTCACGATGTGTGACGGGTCAGAGGAAAAGAAGGCAAAGGGTGTCCGAGGATATATTGTGAAGGGCGGTGAAGGATCCAGAAAAAAGGCACATGATGGAAATGAACGGACTTCGGAGTTACCATCAGTCTATGTACTCTGAGACTGTCAGCAAAGTCGGGTTACCTGCGAACGACGACAAACGCGTGATTTGTGAGGACGGAATACACACCATTGCAATCGGACATAAAAGCCTAAGGCAGTAGGGATCCAAAACCATTCACCGATGGGAAGACCTCATAAAGACTTTGGGAAGACTTTAAGAAAACCCCAACAGACGTGCGGGGCGGAGGACTCGGGAAGGCTGTGCAGAGGCGGTAGCGAGAGACTTTCCTAACAGTCAGGGGGGGGGGGCAGGAGTGGTGCGCGGGAGGGGGAAGAGATTTCGGAGAAAGAGGGTTCCGAGAGTGGGGCAATGAAAACCGGAAGTGACGTCATAGTTTTTCCAGGAAAATGGAGTTCTAGGAAGTAAATTGGGAAAAGGGAATTCCCCTTTTGAGCATGCCTTGGCAAGCCTGATTTGCTGTAAACTGAGCGCAACTGTGAAAAATAGCCAGAACCCGTCATTACACATTACTCACGGGCGCAAGACTAATAAATATCAAGCTAATATAAAATTCTAAACAGCATCTATAGATTTTCCATTTTATCCAATGTCTTTTCTTTCATTAGAGGCTTAGAAATAAAGCTATGTTTCAGTCATGGTTAATATCAGGGTTCCCACGGTCCTTGAAAATCCTGGAAAGTCCTTGAATTTTAACAAAATTCCAGGCCTGGAAAGTCCTTGAAAATTGATAATGTCCTTGAAAATCCTGGAAAAGTCCTTGAATTTTATATCAGCCCCGTTTACACGAGCAAATATATTTGACAAATTTCATTGTGACAAATGCATTTGTCAAAAGCTAACATGCTAACATTTTGATAAAATGCATTTGTGACAATGAATTTGTCACAAATTTATCATCTACACAAGCAAAATATCCTTGACATATGAAATTTGTCAAATAAAATTTACTCGTGTAAACGGAGCTTAAATAAAAGGTGGGAACCCTGTAATATTTATACCACATGTCGTTATTATACACCGCTGACTCATAAAGAAAATACCAAAACGAACAACCTATCACATATTACGAAAATTTCCAGTGGCAGTGTTACTGTTTGAGATTACAGAGTTGGAAAAATAACACAAAAATAATATAATACAATTTATATGGCCACGGCACTAACACACAATGTTGTAAACTCAAATGCCCTTTTTATCTTTGAAAAAAAAGCGAGTATCAAACCGTTATTTCTTGCGGTGTATAATATTGTCTTCAATAATTTACATCATGATAAGGAGAAAATCCAGAAGTACAGTCGAACCCCTATTAAGCGGACACCTTCGGGACCTCGCTTAAGTGTCCGCTTAAAAGGGGTGTCCACTTAAAAGGGGTATGTAGAAAAACACAGCAGGAGGCAAAGGTGTGTAATTAGGTGTGTAATTTGAGTATCAAAACAGTAAAAATATCTAGCAAATAATTAGCATAAAATGAAAATTTCTTTGTGCATAAAAATTCATTAGAAAATGTATACGTCTCTCACAGTCATAAAAAAGGAATCAATACAAATTTGCTTCCCAGGCTCACGCAGATGATAGCCCATATTATAATGTAACGTTGGCGTTGGAAAGTTCTTCCAAAATGGCGTTGGAAAGTTCTTCCAAACCTCGAAATTGTGCGAATTCTGCCAGCCGCTCGACAACTTTAAGGGCTTCGGAGGAAGATTTAATGACTGGTTCTTTTTGAGACCAGTCAAATTCATCATTTTCGTTCAGTTCGTTGTCATCATCAATGATCTGACACATATCTTTCGGCTCCCTGGCTGGCGGCTCACAGTCCTCTGTCCTCGTTCGTCACTTCCTCAACAAGCTCTTCAATGTGCCATGTAAATTTATCTCAATTGTTATTTACTGTCGAATATTGAATACATTCTATCAGACAATCTGTCATCTGTCCGCTTAAGAGAGGTTGGTTTGCCCATCGGGACCTCAAGTAAGGTGTCCGCGTCCGTTAAAGAGGGGTGTCCGCTTAATAGGGGTTATGATAATAGTATTTTATTAAAGGAAACGAATGGGACCTGAGATATGTGTCCGCTTAAAAGAGGTGTCCGCTTAAGAGAGGTGTCCGCTTATAGGGGTTCGACTGTACTTTAGTATTATAATCGTCATCATTATTAAATACGTAGACAGCATAAACCACAACTCGGTCGATCGGGACCATAAACATGCCACTCTTCAAACAAATTCTAGAGAGATATGTAAGCGTAACAGGCAGCAATTTTGCCACAAATTAATCATAAGACACTCTTCTTTCATAAGAAGCACAAATAATCATGATCGCGTTACGAAAACGGCTCATATTTACAAAATATTTGCTTCGAAATCACATTTGTCCACATAACGACATATTAATTATCGCTCCTTTGGGTATCCGGAAGTAAATTTGCACCCTTGCGAATTGGCTTCACTTTTGACACCTATAGAAGCTATATCCAGTGTATTATTAGATCAGTGCATGAGCTCCTTTGAATTTACTTTATGAGTAATTTTTTAAACACGTCCGGATTTATCATTATGATGAATTCGCGGCACATTTTGAATTCATCAATAGAGTTAATCATGAAACCACAAGCATTAGACAAGCCTTCTTTTTATAAATGTAGTAGCACTAAAAGGGACGCTGGTCACTAAGGATTGGGAGAAAGTTAGATCTCCAAAACCCCCCAAAAGTTAGATTAGGATTAGGATTAGGGGTTAGGTGTTAGGGGTTAGATGCCACGAATTTGTCATTATGATCAATTCAAAATGTTCCGCGAATTTATCATAATGATAAATTCGGACGTGTTTAAGAATTTACTCATATAGTAAATTGAAAGGTGGAGCTCATGCTGATATTTTCTTGCTTGTTCGATCTTAGCAGATATGTCGTCGTCAGCTTGGATAGACTCTGGAATGTCTTCGTCAAGTGTCTATAAATTGTCCAGTCGTTATTTTGAGTAACCTTGTCATACTTTAACTTCTTCTATTGGTGACCTGTGGCGTAACTACAATGGGCTCGGACCGGGCAGTGAACTAAAAATACCTGGAACGCTACCTCCTATAAGATTGGCTTATGATATGATGAAGCCAAATTTGACCTCCAGCCGCGCGTGTTTTACCTCCAGACACGCGCGTTTGTGTTGCGAGACATTCTCGCGAGACGATTTCGGCAGTGACTTGAATGTTTTTTTTCTCGGGCGAATGGACCGAAAATTGTCGTTTATTTATGGTTTTAAGCTATATTTTTGTATTAAAAGTGCATTTAAAACATATCTTGAACTCTACCGAATAAAATTGCAAGGAAGGGAGTAGCTGATTGGAGATAACAAGTGCATATTTGAATGACTGGAACGTTTTATATATGTAGATGAAAATTGAGAAAGATAAGTAATTCTTTATTTTAACGTATTAAACATTTTTTTATTAGCATCTTCATAAATTGTTGAACAAAATAAGTTTATTTAGTCTGTATCTATCACTTTGTTTGCCTTCGTTGACGACTTGTTCTGTGTATTTCTTGCCGAATGTGAATAATCGCAACATGAAATACTTGTCCGCGAAAAAACTTTTTAATGTCTTTAATGTTTATATTTGTTATTTTGTACCTTTAAAACTTAATAAATACTCTACTACAAAACATAATTAAATTGTGGTTAGTAGTTTGAGCTTGTTAGAATACCTTTTTTCCTAACTTTCAGACGAATAAATTGGAAAACGAAAGAGCAAAGTAGGGAAATTAACACAAATAC